GAGGCGCCCCTGGCTCCTGTTTCAGAAAGGTCATCGCAGGTCAGCTTGCATTTCACACCATATGGGCAAAGCAACTGCAGCCTGCACCACTGTTCAGATGATGCTTTCTAAACCACTGTTGGCCTAGGGCTTGAATTTTCAGACCTCACAGTGCACCATTTAAACAGGGACACTCAGCTTTTCAAACTCTGAAAATGAAAATCCTTGCTGGTAGTAAAAGATTTTCCCAAACTCTATTCAAGTGCCTGAATAAAACTTACAGAGACCAAAAGCAATATACTATTAGAAATAGTATATAATATAAATATACTATTATAAATAGTATATAAAATACAATATACTATATAATATACAATATTATATGCAATATACAATATAAATATACAATATACTATTATAAATAGTATATAAATAAAACATACCCATGTTTCACCAAACTCCATTTTTAAGTTTTGGATCTAGTCTAATGCTAACTTAGAAATGCTAAGACTACTGCTGAAAACTGGGGCATAAACTAAAGACAACTGTAAAATTTGAGGTCAACATGAATTGCGTACCCAAGGTCAGAATTTTTCCAGCATTTTAAGTGCCTTAAACGATTTATTTTACATACCCTTTAAAAACTGTACTAGACAGGATCAAGGAATAAAAGGAACAAGTTATTTCTCCCCCTTTTCCTCGAAACAAACGAACTTAATTTTTGAGTTTAAGTGTGTGAGCTGGTGTCCTGGCACGTACCTACAATCCCCATCTATACTCAAGGTGGTGAGGCAGGAGGATCACTTGAGTTCAAGGGCATCCTGAATTAGACTGCAAGACCTTGTCTCAAAAAAACAAACAAAAGAAGTGTATACTTCCCAGACTTCACAAACAAGATGACTGCAGAGATTACAAACCAGCAGTACTGCCAGCATCCACACTGTATTTAATCTTTGCTGGAGTGTGTGTCAAAGTATCAGTATCTCACCTGGGAGCGGGGAGTTGACGACCTGGGGACCTCAAGGGTTACCTCCACACAATGCCCAGAGCCCGGCTGTGCTCCAGTCTGGGGCAACCCATGGCCCCAGGTACCTCCCACTGCTCCAGAGACAGGAGTCCACTCCCACTACAGTCCTACACAGCTTGTGAAACCAAACTTATTTCAGCCACGTATCTTGACTATGAAATCGTTGTGCACTTTATTAATGAGGGCTCATAGTCAATTTGGAAAGATAGGTTGCTGGTAGAAATTTTTTAGTGAAGTTTTATGTACATAATTTTAAAAAGAACTTTAAAACCTTTTTCAGAAAAATTTGAAAAAAATTGCAACAAAAGCTTATAGACAGTAAGTGCTGCAAATATTAAGCACTAACTCGGACATCAGGAATCACAAATGCAACCCACTGTGGAGGAACATGTAATCTATGGTGAAAGAGCCGTGTACATCAAGCGCTGGAGACGTTGCCTTGAAGAGCACAACTACGACAACAGTATATTTCTTAGTCAAAAATCTTACCAGTATTTCTTCAAAATAATTCTAAGGGCAGAGTGGGACAGCCACTGGCTCTGTCGCTTTCCCTCTACACTCCTTAACATTTTAACTGCAACCACACATTCTGTGGAACAAAATATTGTTTAAAGTTCTACATAAACTGAGTACTATTTGACTTCCACCAGCTAATTTACAATACGCAATCCCGCTGCTATCAACTCTGACTTGGAACAAGCATTTCAGAAAATGTCACTATTACATATGTCTGGACTTTAAAGCTTAAGACAGGTCTCCATAGAGCATTTATGATACGTTTTACAACTGATGTGACAATTTACTTTTTCATTAACTTTTTCTGAGAATTTTAGTTTCTGTAACTTATCAAAGTAGCTAAAAATGATATTTTGCCACTTGAAGTTTTTGCTTTGGCCATATTTTAACCAGATCTATCTTTTTACGAGACCTAAATAAAGTTCCCTAATTTAATTGACTTTTCTTGCAAATATTGGTAGAAATGACATTTTCTCATGCTAATCTTTTAATCTGCAGTATTGACAGTAATAAATTAATTGAGTCTTTCTCATCAAAACTATTTATAAATTCCACACCAACTTGCTGGAATCTAAAACACACATCCAAGCATCATGTTCTATCCACTGGAGGGCACTCAACCTGACCACACAAGCCACCCAAACATGCCCCGACACCACTGCTCCATGGCTGCTGGTCTGAGGAAGACTGCAGTGGGAAATGTCTTAATTAGCAATTCAACTCTAAAATTGTGCCTTTCTCTTTTAAAGGTTTCCTGGGAGAGAAAGCAGATTATATGCACACTTCAAGGATGGCAGAGTTGAGACCTCAACAGATAAATCTGGGTTTCAAACCAAGTCAAGTTCAGTCTTGCAAGAAACAAAGAACTTTCTTAAGTAAACACAAGAAATAAAGAACTTTCTCCTGAGTTTAAGGGATGAAACCCAATAGGAATTAACTTCTAACTCATTTGCAATGAAAACAAAGCGCACACTTTTCTTTTGTGAAACGAGCTGTTTTTAACCTATGAACTCAGGGTACCCATCGCACACCAGAAACAGCATCACACAGTCTGTTGAAGGAGAAGCAATTCCACAAATAGGTGTTCTCTCAGTGAGAGCACAGGAGGCAACGACCATACGCTCTGGACAAACGAGAAGCAGTTCCTGGCCTATGCTTACTATTTACTTTCACGGCACAAAGATGCTTTCAGAAAAGCTGTAAAAGGCAGCATAGTTTATATAAGAAAAACCAACAAAAAACTAGTACTGGTCGTGCCTTTGGAAAGTAAGCACAAAGCAACACACAGCAATGTGAATTGCCAAGGATGTTTATTAAGCGTGGCCAGTTTCAAAGGCTCTCCCTGGGCGGGCATTCACGCGTGCTCCTGACCAAGCTCAAGGCACACTTCACCTACAATTACCGAGCACCAGCCCAGACCACGAACGAGAGAGATCATTTACAAACCAGCACTCCTACTGTCTCACTGTACCACCAGAGTTTCACTGCACTGCCTGTGTATCGGGGCTTTGACGCCTCTCAATTCCCACGGCCCTTTGGACATCTCCCCCGCTCCACACCTTGGAACACACCGGCTCCAGCGGACTACCTGAGCGCCACGCCCCGAAGGGCCCCTGCGAGCTCGCGCTGCCTCTTCCCCGTCCCCTTGCGTGGCGCTGAAACGTCCACGTTCCTACGCGATACCCTCGGTAGAGGGGGTGCTCAGGAGACGGTTTAAAGGACAAACCTCTCCCGCGCTTCCCGACACGGAGCCCCGCTCAACGCTTTCCCGTTCACCAGCCGCCTGCTCTCGGCTTTTCCTCCCACCGTCTCACACGCCGCGCGGGTCTCGGGGGCCTGGGCCTAGGACGCGCCGGGCCGCGCCGCGGCTTCCTCCGGCTCCTCCTCGAGGACCCAGGCGCCGACCGTCCCGGCATTCCTCTAATCCCACAGCAGACTTCGGCAAGTTTTTCAAGTTACGGCTGCAACCGCTCCGGGGCCTTGTCCCTGCACCGAGCCTTCCGAGCACAGCCTGGGTCAAGGCAGTGGGCCCGAGGCCCAAAGTCACCCTCCACCAACCTGAGGGTACTTTACACTTCAACGATTTTTACAAGTTCCAGTCACACTAACGCGAACGCACAGCAGCCGCGGCGCACACGAGCGGACTGCCGGCGCACGAACAGCTGCGAGGCGCAGGCGGCCGCGCAGA